GTGCTTAAGCTTTTACCGACATAAGTTAATTGTCATTAGATTCAATGACGCTATAGATTTTAAAGACATTTACAAAAAACGTCAATTGCTGCTAAAGATCATTTTTGTGTAGTATATATTAGAAATAAACTGATTTTAGTAAATTAAGAATAATTTTTTTACGTAGTTTTCATATATGCAAATTTTATGCTCAAATTCATAGTTAAAATACAGTTTCATGACTTTCGAAATCCAAATAATGTCACATAAATTGGGACATGGAAAATAATAATCAAACTTAGATTCTTAAACATGATTAATAGGATTTAATTAAATAAAATAAGTCCCTAATAAATAGTCTCTCAAGAAGATTTACAAGTTAATAATTAGAGTCAAGTAAAATGAAATGATGGGAATAATTATTAGAAAATGCATGGGCAAAATATATAAATGCTATGCATATAAACTCTTGTAAAAACTAAAGCTATATATCACCAAATTAAATGATACACACAAGATCAGGAGATATATCACGTAAAAGTGAAAGCAATGATATGAGTACAAAAAGTAAGTATATTGAAGAATATTAGTATAAATATTATTATGAAAAGATTGAAAAATCATCACAAATATTCTGCTCATTTCTTTTCTATTTCAATTTCTGAATTAGTATATGATGTTTTTTGAACTTTCCATACGTAAAAATGGAATAGAAAAAGGAGCTAGAAACAATATTTGTTATGTGAATGACATCAAAAAATTTATTAAATGAATGAAATTGAGATAGTGATGAAATATGCGATAGTTACGTTACAATGTACTTGAGTGAACTTTACGAAATCGAATCTTTTATTGTTCCTCATTTATCAAAACCCTAACTAATAATTGTATTAGGGGAAAATATTTTGTAGTATTATGTAATATCTGTGCCATGTAAGTCGGCTCATCACTTTGCAAATGTGTTTCTTTGCAATTTGCATAATTTTTCTTGTCTGTCTGTCAATCAAATTACTTCCGTTGGGTGGGACAAAAAGAAAAGAAAGGAAAATAATTATTTAAAGAAAATCAAAAGATATGGTGTACTTAATTAATTTAGTGATTTTAACTTTTAAATCAAGGAAAAGGAGAATTGACAGCTTTAAATAATCGGAAATAAATGCATACCGTCCAAGTATAATAATTACGTAATTTATAGTGGAGATGAGAATGATTTAGTTCAATTTTTTTTCTTTGTCAAGTTTTGGGGGAAATTAATCGGTACATTCTCTCTTTCTTTTGTTTACTAATTATTAGCAGAGTCAGATTAAATTTGAATTCACATTGAAAGTCCTACACTAAAAGGGGTAAAATGCTATGATTGTTTGTAACAAACTTTGAAGTGATGAAAATAAATTTCAATCACAATTTTTTTTGAAGAAACAACAATATTTTATTAATAAATAGTATGAAAACAATTTTGTCTTGATTCTTCTTAATTACATCATGACTCGAACGCGGTTAGTAGATTTGAACTTCCTACATGAAATAAATTTGTGAATCTTGTTAAAGTATTTCATTATCAAAAGGAGTCTGACATATTTTAACCTCTTAATGAGTATCCCAATAATTTATGGAATATTTGAGATGCTTTTTCAAAAAAATATATTATGTTTATATAGGCATGAGCTAGGGTTTATGATAAAGTACCCTCCGAGATAGGGTTTGGGTAAAGTAATCTCCAAGAATACTTACTGAAATAGAACTTGTCCGATAAAGTCCTACAAAATCTCGATGTCTAAAGCAATTCTGTACCCAAAAGGACTCAAATTTGAAACCTCTAATTAAGAATTGAAAGATATTTATCACTCTACCACGACCATCAATATAATTAACCGATACATTCTTGATAAAATCATAATCAGATTTGAAGAGAAAAGGTTGGGGAAAAGATATTATTAATAACTAGCATGTAAATAATTGGTCAATCCCTTTTCATTTAACAATGTTCACCTTTTTCATTGATAAAATAATTTTGAAATAAGAAAGTACTAACATGTTGGTAGCTCCAGTAAATGGAATTATTTCTCGAATCTTTGAAATTATGCTACATAAATAATTAATCTCGAACCTTATTGTTCATAAATAATTCATTAAGTTACTATTCACATAAAAAAAAAGATTTTTTATGGGAAAAATCATAATATAAGTGAACGTTGCAGTCTAGATATCATGTAAGACAGTATTTTAGCTGTAAATTGCATTTTTTTATTATAAAAACGTCGTCCTATTTTGAATCTTCAAATTCAAGTTGAAGTGTTTAACTAAAATTAATCCTATTCCCTTGAGCTTTTATCATGATATCATCAATTATACGTACTAATTAAGGAAAAATGTTAAGATGAAAAATCTGATCTATGATATGTAAAGAAAGAAAGAAAGACGAAATTTTCACGCTCTTAATTAGGAAATAATTTAAAGCTAGATTAATGTCGAAAAATAATGTATTAGGGCCTATTTGACATTGATGCTAAACACCACTTATTTTCATAAATTTTTTTTTTATAAAAAAAAATAGATTTTCAGAAAAATGCTTTTAAAAAAATAATTTGTATTTGGCTAATTCATTAGAAAAATGATTTTTTATAAGCATATTGTGTTTGGCTGATCTTTTTTAAAAAATGCTTTTGAGAGTCAAATTACGATAAAGGACAAATATTAATGTACTTTTAATACTAAAATTATTTTATAGAGAGAAGCTAGTTTAACCATCTATTACAAAAAATTAAATTAAATTTTTATTTTTATAAAATTAAAATATTCAAATTCAAATTTTCAATCAATATTATACATTTTTTGGAGGGTTGAATCTTTAATTGTTATTTTTTTCTTTTTTCTAATCTTCCAAAAATATTGTTGTTACCTTTTTCTCTAATTCCACAAATTAATATGTAAAATAATAAATAAAATACTAATACATAAATGTAAAATAAAATATAAAATTTATTGTATAAAAATAAAAAATAAATGAAATTAAATGAAATTAACCAAAAAATATGAGATATCTTAATTAATTAATAATTTATATAAATTGGAGTTGAAAAATATTAATTTTTGCTTCTGCTTTTTGTAAGAAACATAAAATTTTAGTTTCTTCAGCAGAAAAACTGCTTCTACTTTCATTTAAAAGCAATTTTACAGATTTGCTAAACATCTATTTTTTTTGAAAAAAATGTTTTTTTCTCAAAATAAGTGTTTCTCGGCTCTCAACATTAACTAAACACGCTGTTTATATTTTAATTATCTCATTTTTTGGGATAGTAATTCTATTATTTTAATATAAATGATGAAAATAATTCTGAAATCAATTAATACCTTAAATAAAATAATAAAATAAATTAATTTTAAAATTTATGTCACGATTATCATTCTTATTTCACGTATTAAACGACTCCACATCTTCCAAAAAAAAAAAAAAAAGTAAAGAGTCCAAATTCTTAACCCTTTTTTCTTATTGCATGTGTTTTGCCGTCTTCCTAGAAGCGTGATTCATCGCTTAAATATTCGCATAATTAGCTTAAAAACAAGTTTACCGTGTTTATAATGAAGACAAATTATCTTAATCACATTATACGTGAGCCACCCTTCAATATCTGCATGATGAAACTTGTCTTTATATATATATATATATATAAATTTATGTAAAACACTTATGTCGATAAAAATATTTAAATGGCGATAGCTAACAATAATGGTTGGTTGATAGTAAATGATAGTTAGAGTTATCTAATAACTGGTAGAGATGGTGGCTGATAATTGATTAATCATGGTGATTGATGATAATGATGATAATTGGTGATATTGACTAATAATTATGATGATATATAATAAGATATAATGATAGTTGCGATAACAAATCGTGGTAGTTATTCATATATATAGTGTTAGCTAGTGTTGGTGTTAGAGGTATTTGAGGATCGGAAGGTGGACGAAGGAAAATTTATATCAATTTAAATAATTAAGAGACATTTTAGGTCTTTTTCGAATAAATCTATTATTAATATGTTTTTGCAACATATTAAAAGAGGAAAAATATCATATAAAATAGGACAAGGAGAATATGTTTTTTCATATGTAAAAGTTTTTAAGTGGTAAATTTGAATACTTGAGTTTGAAATAATATGAAAATATTAGTTGTTTAATTTAGTTGTATAGTTTTAAGCAATATTTCAATGACAAATTTAAATACTTGATTTGTCAAAACAATAATATGTATATCAATTTTATTTTTTTAATTTAACCATGAAAAACGTTCATTAATTGGTTATACTTTCATTCTAAAAGTTCAAATCTAAAACCTTTTATTAAGGCGTAAGAACTTATCAAATCACTTTATGGTAAATAATAAACATAAGTATAATACGACAAGTAAAACACACGTATTATTCATATACATCTTTTCTCTTACATATTAACTTTTTATTTAAAAAAGAATTCACATATATGCCTCTCTTTTTTTAGGGTTTTAAATTTGTATTTATCCATATTAAAACCTAATTAATTAGAATTCGCTTCACGTAGGGTTTATTCGAGCAAAGTGCTTCATATTAATTTTTTTATTTTATATCTAGGATTCAAACTAAAATCCTCTAATTAAAAAAATAATAAGTTTATATGCTATATCACATCATACTGTAATTCATATATATGTCTTGCATGTATTTAAAAGAACATTCATGAATCATCACGATAATATAAAGCGCGATTAAATTTACTACTACTAAAGAGGAGGCGGTCGACCTATTTGCATAATATCATAAATTATTAAAAACGTGTTTTCTTTATAATACATGATCATTTTTTTCTCTAGTCATACTTGTACACTCTTAAATTAGTTGTGAAAAAATTAATTTTTTTTTCTCTAAAATACCAAATTTAACTAAAGTCCAAAAATTAGAAAAACTGACAGATTAGATACAGCCAACTAATTTTCACTATAAAACTCAACCTTCACACCCTATTTCTTCTTGCCTCTGTCACTAATCTTCTGCAACTTCCCCTCTCCTCCATCCGCCGTCGCCGCCGCCGCCGTGGTTGTCGTTGCCGGGATGGATGTAAAACAACCCCAACCACCTCCTTCCACCGTCAAAATCAGAAGAACCACCAGTTCCGACGGTAGTGGATCTGGATCTATCATTCTTGGGAAATACCAATTGGGTCGTCTATTGGGTCGAGGTAGCTTTGCTAAAGTGTACCTTGGTCGTTGTTTAGATGATAATACTGAAGTTGCTGTTAAAATTATTGATAAATCCAGTACTACCATTGATGCTTCTATGGAGCCACGGATTATCCGTGAAGTCTCCGCCATGCGCCGCCTTAATCACCACCCGAATATCCTCGAACTTTTTGAAGTTATGGCTACGAAAACTAAGATCTATTTCGTTATGGAACTAGCTCACGGCGGTGAGCTTTTCACAAAGCTTAACCGCCGTGGCCGGTTTTCTGAATCCACCGCTCGGTTTTACTTCCATCAGCTTGTCTCCGCTTTACATTTCTGCCACCAAAACGGCGTTGCTCATCGTGATATCAAGCCACAAAATCTCCTCCTAGACAAAGAGGGTCACCTCAAAATCTCCGATTTCGGACTCTCCGCCTTGCCGGAGCAGTTACAGAACGGTCTCCTTCATACCGCGTGTGGTACGCCGGCGTATACTGCTCCGGAGGTGGTTTACAGAAGAGGGTACGACGGAGCTAAGGCGGATGCTTGGTCATGTGGGGTTATTCTCTTTGTGTTCCTCGCCGGTAGGTTACCGTTCAATGATAGCAATTTGCCTAACATGTATAAAGCTATACACCGGCGTGAGTATCAGTTTCCCGATTGGGTTTCAAAGTCAGCTCGGAGGATAATTAACCGGCTGCTTGATCCTAATCCGGAAACGAGATACGGAATTGAAGAGCTCATGAACACTCTATGGTTTAAGAAATCATTTTCGATGAAACCAGAACAAAGCACGAAGCAATTTGGCGAGGGGATTTTGGAGAAAGAAAGCAAACACATGGAGAGTATAAATGCATTTGATTTAATTTCAATGTCTTCAGGGTTGGATTTATCGGGGATATTTGAAGAAGAATTGAACAAGAAGGAGATGAGATTTACGACGAGTGTAGAAGTAAACGTGATAGAAGAGAAGGTGATGAATGTTGGTAAAAATGCAGGATACAGAGTAGAGAAAAGGAAGAATGGTGGAATTGGGTTGGTGAAAGGGAGAACTGTTTTGTTAGTTGAAATCTTGGAGGTGGCAAAGGAATTGTTGTTGGTGGAGTTCAAAGTCGTTAATGGAGGATCAGAATTCGAGGATCGTCAATGGGAAGAACTGAAAGCTGGATTGAAAGAAATAGTTGTTTCATGGTACAACAATTAGTGATCGAGAAGAATTGAAAGTAGTAGTCATTTCAATGGTATACCGATGAGTGATCGATATTGGTGGTGGTGGTGGACGGCGATTTTGGCGGGTAATGACGGTGGCCGGAGGCGTTGTATAGAGGAAGTAGACATCATGGATTCATGTTTCAGGATGTTTAGTTAGTAAACTAGGCTTACCATTATGATGCTATTTTAGTTTTTTTTGAATTATGTAAATGGATATGAAAATCAGTTTCTTGTTTTAGCTGAACAATTTTTTAATCATTTTTTTTTTTGTATGTATATTTGAGTTTGATTAACAAGAAGATAGTAGAATTTAATACGCGTCCTTAAACCAAAAAGTTTCCGATTTGAGTTCGTGGTACAGAGTCCGGCTCCTCCGTACCTCTTTTTAGGGAGACTCCATACCTTTTTTAGGGAGCACTTTATCTCCAATGTGGAACTTCTCAAAGCAAATTCAGATTTAGTCGGGTTCCTAAGTCGCTTGATTTATCTCCAATGTGAAACTTCTCGAAGTGAATCTAGATTTAGCCGGGCTCCTAAGTCGCTTTATCCCTAGTGGGACTTTTCGGCGAGATTTCAGATTTAATTGGGCTCCTTCGCACCCATTTATTAGGGAGCGCTTTACCTCAAATGTGGAACTTCCCAGCTTGAATCTGGATTTAGTTAGGCTCCTGTGTGCCCTTTTGTAAGGGAGCCTTTACCCTCACCCCCAATGTGGAATTTGTTTTTAGTCGGGTTCCTGCGTACCCCTTTGTTAGGAAGCCTTTACCTTGACGTGGGACTTTTCGTGTTCCAATATAGATATCCTCAATGTGAGATTTTTCGGCGTGAATTTTAGAGCTCTAATATAGATACACTTAGTGTGAGACTTTTCGACGTGAATTTTCGAGCTTCAATATAGATATTCTCAATGTGAGTTTCCGAACTCCAATATAGGTATCAAACTAGGGGAGAAACTAAAGAAAAAAATTAGAACAAAAAAAAACTTGCAACTTATTGAGTTTCTCTAGTGTTTTCCAGTCTAAAACACAACAGCTAGACATCACAAAATGACATTAATATACAGAAAAAAAACTGATGGCTGCTATCAAAGCAGTAAAACAAATCTTTGGTCCCCAACCAACAGTATAGTTCCAACTTCCAATAAGGTAAAATGCAAAAACAAAAAACAGTGTAACTATTTTTGTTTTTTCTCAACTCAAAAAGAATCAACCAAGAAAAGTAAGTATATGCTTGTAAACAAAGATAAACACGTATTGCCTTCCAGATCATCATACACACGGGTTAAAATTCAATTTTGATTCTCCACAATTTGATTCAGACATAAAGCTCGAACTCAAACAAATACATATGAAGATAGAAGTTTTATCATAGAGTTTTGATAACGATTCAAGATTTAAATATGGTAAACTCGAGATCAAAGTTTATTTTAATCAATTTGATTTATTGGTTTAACAACTCAATTCTATTTTTTTTAATCCTAAAACTTTAATTTATGTGTTGAGACCTTGTTATTTTCTCTCTACTAATATAATGTTTGAGAAGATGGTGGTCCAGCTAACAATGTAAAGACTCAAATTCCAAGTCATAAATATTCTTATGATTTTTTCTAAGGTTTTGATGGTGTTATCCTATTAGTATTATTCCGTGAACCTTTATAGATATTTTCATGTATTCCAATAAAATAATAATAATAGCTCAATTGAGTAATTTTTATTCTTCTAGTGGGATTTGTGCCTTTTTAATATGCTGTAAATAAAGATAATCAATAAATTGCCGTCCAGCTCATCACTCCTACTTGTTGGATCATCAGATGCTGTAGATATTCAGAATTTTAAAGAATTGTGTTCAGTATCCGCATTGGAGTTCGACTATACATAGGGCCTCATTTGGGAGAAAACGCTCTCTATTAAGAACTTTTTTTCCTACTCAGAATTTAAACTCGAGACCTCTAATTAAGGAAAAAGCGGTAGAGCTGATGGTTGACATCACAACAGTAAAAAATATCTTTTGTCCAAATAGTAATTCCATTAACAAGCTAGATATGCAAATGTAATCAATGAAAAATCAAGAATCAAAATATATGATTGGCTGCAAAATATAGATTATAGTAAAACAATAAAAAAAATTCAAACTAAAAATGACATTTTCTACCAGTTGGGGATGAATACTGTTAACAGCACAGAAAAACATAGGTGACCAGCTCACTACACAACAATTAGTAGTAGCTAGTTGATGGTATTATTTCAATGACATAATGCTGCTGCACAAATTCTGACAGAATACAGAGAACACTACAGAAGTTGCACAACACAAAACACTGATGGTGTATTTCTCAAACCGATAAGTCAGTAGTTTATACATGAAACTTACTCTCTCAATAATTTAGATATGAAATTATATATATAAAAATAATTTAAATGTGTTTTTGACACTTATCTCTAAAGAAAAATGAAGTAAATGGTTGTGGAGGAAGTCAATTGTGTCTATAATACTAGATAATGTTGCCCGTGTTATGCACGGGCCCATTAATATAAATGCTATATTTTGGGGCAAATAACCGAGTTTTTGAAGCGATTGTTTGCGTGGATAAAAGAATAAGTTTTTTTATCACAAATTTGTACTTTCTTTGACGCTATTTAAGGCATAATAAGACTACCCACATACAACATTTTTGAAATATTTTATGTTGTCAATTATCATGATTTATAGTATTTTTACGATAGATTCACTTCAAGAAGCAGAGGAATTTTTTGTATTTTTTTCAAAACATATTTTATGTTGTCAATTATCATGATTTATAGTATTTTTACGCAATTTTTAAATATAAAAAAACTAAAAAAAATAAGACAAATAAATTAAAATGGACCCAATATATGTTATTTTTATTGTCTCAATTTATATGACACAAATGAAATTTGGAGAGTCATCCAAATTTTCATTTAAAAAAAAAAAGTTTTTAGTTATTAATTATTGTGATTTGTAATATTTTTATGTAACTTTCAAATAATGTACATTACTGGTCACTTTGTCCTAATTTATGCGATATGGATAAAATTACAAAATTAACCCTTTTAAAATGTCTTTAAGATATTTTAAGTTGTTAATTATTATTATTTATAATACTTTTTTGGTAATTTTAAAATGATATGTGTTATTTTTTCTGTTCCAATATATGAGAGCCTCATAGAATTCTAAGAGTCAACCTATTTTATTATATAACTTTTAAATATTTTAAATTGGTAATTGTTATATTTTTTAATGCTTTTTAAGTCATTTGTAAATGATATATGTTGCTTCCTTGATTGAGACTTTTCCATTTGTGACATATATATATAATTTTAAAAGGGAGTTTATGCCCAAGTATAATATTTAATATTCAAGATTGGGACTTTTAAAAGGGAGTTTATGCCCAAGTATAATATATAATATTCAAGATTGGGAAAAGTCCCAATCTTGAATATTATATATTATACTTGGGCATAAACTCCCTTTTATTATATAGTAGAATAAGTTAAAAAACGAAAGTAAGAACTAATAAACAATAAGCCGTCTTAGCTCAGTGGTAGAGCGCGTGGCTTTTAACCACGTGGTCGTGGGTTCGATCCCCACAGACGGCGGGAGTTAATATTTTTCCTTTATTTTATTGCACTAAATAAACTCTAAACTTGTAAATTTACCTGGTCATATAAAACAAGTACAAGTAAACCATTTTATAATTAAAATTAAAAGTTATTTTTAGTATCGTAGGCGCAATCCGGTGGACAAATAATCTTGCATTAATGGTTGATCTCACGGCTTGAATTCTTGAACTATAGGCCACACAACAATTTTACTTTTATTCCAAGACTTATTTTAACTCTTAACTCTCTGAATGGTAATAGTGTTAAATAAGAAAGAATATACGAGTATTAGTGAAGAATAATATCAGATTAAATGTTTAAAAAAATTAATTTGATTGAAATATAATACATTTATACCATGGAGGGTTAAATTTTTTTTTTTTTACTCCTTATATGGTGTCTATTTATATAAGTACCATGGGAATAAAAGAAGGGATAATTGTACAGAATGACAAACTTATAATCTAAAATAAATGAAGTAGCTACTGTTTGATTTAATTGCGCCCCGTAGCAAATGTTTGCCAGTCGCCTCTCTCCCTCCAAATTCTCGCTCGTCACTCTCCCTTTCTCGCTCGCTACTCTCCCTTTCTCGCTCGCTCCCTCTGTGCTCGCCTCTCTCGCTTTGTACAACAAAATTGTATAAATTGTGTTTCTGTTTGTATAAAACGAGAGAAAATTGTATATACACATGCAAATACATATATATTCGTCCAATACACTTATAATTATACAATAAAAATATTTCCCTGCCCAGTTCTCTTTTGCCTTTCTCTCTTTCTCGTTTTATACAAACACAATTATACAATATAATGTAAAATTTATGTTTGTATAATGTATAATTTATGTTTGTATAAAGCAAAAGAAAATTGTACATACACATGCAAATACATATATATTCGTCTTATACACTTATAATTATACAATACAAATATTCCCCTGCCCAATTTTCTTTTGCCTTTCTCTCTTTCTCGTTTTATACAAACACAGATTATACAAATATAATATATAATTTATGTTTGTATAATGTATAATTTATATTTGTATAAAGCAAAAGAGAGAGCGATTTTTGATATACAAATATTTTTGTCAACGATTTATACAAACGAGAGGCTAACAACAATTTATACAAATGGCTTGCCATCGAAATTATACAAATCTGAAGAGGAGCCAACGAATTATACAATTGCTTCTTTTTGTATATATGTATAGCGAAATAGACATAGCTTTCAATGTATATGTATATCGAATTATACATATATATGTTTGCTATGGAGCGCAATTATGCAAACTTTGCTATAACATACAAATATGATTTTTTTGTTTGCTATATGTAAAAGTTGCTCATAAAAGAATATCACAACGTATAAATAAAGTGAATTTGAATACACAAAACAATTAGAACTTGTGAATGAAGATATTAGCACTTTCAAGTCTTTCAATAAGCAGTCGTTGCAGGCGTAGTCAAACTTAACATTGATTAAAGCAAATGTTGGAAGGACCCAAAAAAACAAACAAAGCACTTATCCTTGAATGACAGACATATTTTCAAGTGCTATATAGAGAATTACAAGCATTTTGGTATATCCTAGTATGCTAGTAATGAGCCGAGGGTCTATTTTAAATAATCTTTTTACCTCACTTTTGAGGTAAAGGTAAGGTCTGCGTACACTATACCCTCCTCAAAACCTCACTTTGTGGGAATACATTGGGTATGTTGTTGTTGTAGTAGTAGTATGATCAATTTGAGCCAATAATGACTATTTTCTTGGAAAAACAGGTTTCAACATCACCGCGAATTATCTTTAACATTCTGTTGCAGAACACTCTATGAGCAAATACTTAAACAACACTCCAATGTTAAGAGAGCCTTCGAAAAGTCTGTTTGTTTTCCTCCAAATAAGTACACGAATGGTGTTATTTCTCATGAGTAACACTGCAGGGTAAGAAAAATAGTGCTTAAATTTAAAGGGAACGAACACAGATTACCTGTTGAGTTCGCGTGTGTCATCAGGAAACATCTTTGATCACCTTAACTTCTGCTCCTTTCTCCTTTAATGTTCGTGCATAACTGCGCACATACAGAAGAATAAAACATGTTTTTGTGATGAAATGTTCATATCAAACATTGAACTAGGCAAGACATTCTAAGTTACTAGAATAGCTTTGAATGGATATAGCTTTAGTGGGTTTCAGATGTCTCCCGCAATGTAAAATAAACTAGATTCAGCTAGTGATCAAGTCTAGCATCATTCATTAGGAAAACGAATCAACAATAACAACAACATACCCAGTGTAATCCCACAAGTGGGGTCTGGGGAGGGTGTGTGTACGCAGCCTTACCCCTTACCTTGTAAAGGTAGAGACTAGAGAGGTTGTTTCTAATAGACCCTCAGCTCAAGTAATTAGGAAAATGAATCATCGAACAAAATATCCACTTGTAAATCTATAGCAAATTGGGCAGTAAACTAAGAAATTTGGAAGAACATTCAGTTGGTGCCAAAACAGCACCCTTTTCTAGAACATTGTCAACAAAGAAAATATCCATAGGTAGGGTGCCAGAGGATAAATATAGCGATTGCAAGAATATCCTAAATAAGAAGAGGTCTGACACTGATAGCTCCTCAGAAATTATGAGTAAGAGGTTGAGAAAGTACTAAACAAACACCAAATATAGGTCTGTATAAAAAGTTTCAGGAATTGGAACTATTTATGAAGCTCTTTTAACTGGAACTGATTCCTACACATAAGAGGGCTGGAGGAAATTGGGACACGTTTTCTGTTTTGTCAGTTACAACTGAAGGATAAGTATAGTCTATAAATCAGTTAATCAGGATGTATACACTATATTTTAGTTACAAGTGAAGGATAATGCAATGTGTCTTCATCTGGACACGAGTGCATAAGGTTGTGGCAAGAAGTTGATCTCCCCAACATATATGCTATGAGTGTCGTAGATGGATATGAATATTAGAAACATTATTCTCACAAGTAAACACCGAGCAGAACAGTCTGGATGATAAAATTAATGGGTAAACAAACAAAGAACCTTTTCAGAGCATCAGTATAAGGGATTCTCAAAAAAAATAAAAAATGAGCACTTACATATGGGACGTGAAATATCTAGCCAAACTCCATGAGGCCTCTGCAGATGACTCTACTTGATAACAGGAACATCAGCGGGACTGCTACAGGCTTTGAAACAGATAAAAACCAGAAATATTCAAATTGGATTGATCAGAATAAGCAAGCAAATGAATAATACAAAATACACACTTCATGCAAAACAGATACGAGTCTACAGCAAAATTAAGTCTTCCCAGCAACAACATTATTGCCATCTAGTGTAAGCAAGCTATAAGAAAAGCTAGAGTTTCCAGCATTAATGTGTGACACCTTTCCACTATTAAATTAACAAGCAATCATTAGTCCAGAGAAAATTCAAAGAAATTCATGACACCATAATATCAGTCAAAATTTTAGTCATATTATCCATAGAATTACCTCAACACATTCACCAAAAGTATTACTTCAGTGCTTCCCCAGACAGACGATAAAATCATGGTATATCCATCACAGAGCCAAGGTTTACTTAGAAGATTAAAACAGTAAAGGCCAGGGAAGATCCTTCAGGGCACTTCACAACAGGAACCTGTTGTTGCTTTGTCACATAAGTGTTGCACCAACAGTTAGACATGAAATGAACAAAAGTAACAATGACTAACGAATACTAATTAGTATACAGGGTATTTAATAAGACCAACAACTGAATACAGTGAAGGGTGAATAAAATATATTTCTTTCAACTAAAGATTCAACCAGGTAATCAGCTGCTGCAAACAAAGATAAATGAACTGCAGAAAAAGATTCTTGGACCAATTGGAGTCAGTTATACAGCACAGAAAATTAGTAGGCCAGCATATAACAAATACTACAAGGTGTACAACATGTGTATGAGCTTCTTGTTGAAGACAGGAGAACTCCCCTAGGCATCCCCAACTGACGAGATGACAAACCATTAACTCAACGTTTTTATAATACGAGGTTGCTGTTACTAAGAAGCTTCTGGCGTACATGAAGGTGCTATTTCAGAGAGCCTTTATAATGGAATAGTTTTATAATCAACAACAGAGTTTGAGACTGAAGGATACTACTAGAGATAGTACTTAATAAATGATGCCTAGATCTGGAAAAAGTTCAATACATTTGTATTTACAACAACAAAATTGTGAAAATTACATGAGAGGCTTGAGCCACTTCACTAGAATCTACCTGCGTCAGTAGAGTATGAAGCAGCTTCTCTTTGAGAGAGTTCTCGTATAAAGTTTAATCTCTGTAGACCCTGCCCCATGGTGCAATCTCCTAGCTTTTTTTAGAACGGTAAATATAATCATCTCCTATTGTAAAACCATAAATATTTTTAAAAGAGCTAGGCATCTTTACTATCAGGAGAGTCAGTATTAAGCACACCGATAACGGAAGATAGGGCTGAAGTCCACTCTTGCACGCCACTCTGAGGATCCTTTTTCCTCATAGATTCCAGCTTACTAATAGCCTCTTTTGGAACACCACATTTAAGAAGAACAATTCCAAGTGATTTGAATGTTGAATCATCAGGTTGGATGGCAGAAGAAAGCATTTCCTTGTAAGTCGCCAAAGCTTCTTTATACCTCCCATCAGTTGCACACAATCCAAGCACATTGTTGTAACTCAACAAGTCAGTCAGAAGTCCTAGTTCTTTCATTTTCCGGGCATTTTGAATGGCTTCCTTAAACATTCCATTTCTCCTGTACATGCACAGCATCATTGCATAAGAAAATTCATTTGCATTTCCCTTTTTCTTCAGGTGCTCAAAAATCTCTTCTGCTTGTTTAACCATAGAGCGCTCACTGTACAAGTCAATCATGCAATTTGAAGAATATACATCAAGCCCTTCCTCAAATGACTGAAGCATTTTATACGTTTCTTGTGCTTCTCTCAAATACCCAACCTTGGTGTATAGCTTAATTAAGGAAGTGTATATAACTGCATTTGCCTCTAAACCAGAGTTTCTCATTTCAACCAAGTATTTTGTAGCGTCTTTAACACTTCCCATGTCAGCAAAGGCATTTATCAGTACACCATAAACAACGACATCAGGCTTGATGCCAAACACAATCATTTCATCGAATAAGCTTACTGCCATTTCCAGCTGACCTACTTTAACAAAACTAGATATCACAGCACAATAAGGGATACAATCATCAACTAATCCCGCCTCCTTCATTTCCCTCACATAAGATGCTGCTTTCAGAGGCAGATCTGCACCAGCTAGCATTTGGATGAGTGAACTATAACTGCATTTATCAGGAGATATGCCATGCTTCTCCATGCTATCGAACAAGTAGCACGCCTTGTTGTATTTCTTGCTAATTCCATACGCCTTGATCATTACATTGAACTCAAGAACAGTAAGCCTTTTTCCCTCACTACAACAATTAAAAGCTCTCTCAGCTTCCGAAATATGGCCACGTTCACCGTAGGCATCAATGTTGGCAGAATAACATTCAGAAGACATTTTTCCTGCAAGATGAAACCTCTGGAACCAGGACCATGACATTTCTACCATCCCAGCTTCTAGATACATCCTAGTCAAAGCTGACTGAGTGAATTCGTCAATCTGTAGATCTTTCTTATCCATCTCCAAAATGAGCTTCTCTGCTTCACTAACCATATTCCTTATAGAAAATGCATACAAAAGAGTGCGATAGGTCACTGCATCTGGCTCTAGAGAAGCATCTTTCATAATTTTAAAGTAGGTGGCAGCCATTTCTATGTTGTCATGCTTGGCGTGAAGGGAAATAAGAATATTGTATGTTCTTGTATCAGGATGACACTGAAGCCCCTCCATCTTTCTCATCAAGGAAGCAACTTCTTCCATTCGGCCATTATTACCACACATGTGAATCATTGTATTGAAAGTAACTGTTGTCGGCAGGATCCCTTCCCTCAGCATTTGGTGAAAAGTCTCGTATGCTTCTTTCACTTGTCCTGCCTTCCCATAAGTGTCAATTAAATTGTTATAGGTGTGTGAGCTCAAACAAACACTTGAGCCCGAAGAACCATTGACCCTAATACCACTTCTTGGTCCACCATTTACACGTTCCTCCACTTGACATTTGCATAAAGACCACTTTTTCAAAAACTCTTCCGCTTTCTTAAACTCCCCCGCCATTTTATACATCTGAACAACAATTCCCATTGTCACCTCATCTGGTACCATACCTCGTTCATTCATCAACTTCAACCATTCCATTGCCTGCTCCCTACGCCCACCCTTGCTGTAGACATCAATCAGAGTCCCATAAGTTGAATTTATAGGCTCGATTCTCCTTTCCCTCATTTCGCCCCACAGTCTCTCAATCTCATCCCACCTCTGTGATTTCCCAAGAATCCTAAGTACAATATTATAATGTATAACATTCAATTCATGGCATCCTCTTCTCTTAAACCACTCAAAAATCTCCATTGCTCGTTGCCACTCCACCTGCTCCTTCAATATAATAGTCCTTTCTTTTTTAGTCAAACTCTTTTCCCATGGCTTTAATGCCTCATCCAAATTACTAACTGTCTCCAAAGCTTCCAGCATTACAGGAATACATCCTCCATATCTGCCCCATTTTTTCGAACCCTTAGTCTGTACTTTCTCCATCGCATTCCCCGAGCTCAATTGACCACCAACTTTTTTCTTATTCTCAGTTCTATCAACTGGTTTCCTAAAAACACCATTTTGGGTCTCCTTCACGTCATTGCACCATTTTGTCGAACAGTTGGTCTGCACCACATTTACCGAGCTCAATTTTCCATCAATTTTTTCCTCACTCTCAGTTCTATCAACTGGTTTTCTCAAGAAACCATTTTGGGTCTCCTTCACGTCATTGCGCCATTTTGTCGAACACTTGGTCTGCACCCCATTACTCCAGCTCGACTGACCATCAATTTTCTCCTCACTCTCAATTTCATCAACTGGTTTTCTCAAGAATCCATTTTGGGTCTTCAAAACACCATTTTTCCAAACACGGGTATGCGAGTTTTTCCCAATTTGATAATCCAACTTCTCTTTTACATCATTACCATACCCAACACCCGGCCTGCATTTGACCCCAAGATTCTTGCTTTTCTCAATTCTTCCATTTGGGTCATTCAATTTGTTCTGGTCCTTGTATTTCTTGGTGGGTGGGATTGAGATTCCTACACTGGGAGTGGGTTTAGTTGAGTTTAGTATATGGAAACAATTACTGGTGTCAACATACTGAAACTTCACATACATTTTTCTCAATCTTTCAGGTTAAGATATGAAGGAAGAAAAGCATTAGGAGCTGCAGAAGAAAATGGTGGAAAAGAAGGAAAATGTAAAGAAGACGAATGGGTAAGGAGGGAAAAATCAAGTCAGAATTGTGCCTATTTTTGGGTAAAGATTTATCACAAGCAGTAGTAAGCCGTTTTAGCTGTGTTTTTTAACAAGGAGGTCATGGGTTCGATCCTGATAGACGGCTGTTTTTTATTTGTTTTGGTACGAGTGTGTTTGACTAAGCTTATAAATTAGTTAAAAACAGTTTTCGTTTTATCTACATATTTAATAAAAAGATAATTATTCATTTGTTTTATGTCTTTGACATACTGAATTTCTGCTATTTTTGATGTTACACTTGGAAGTTGGAAAGAGTCCTCTGCCTTTATGTAAAGACTTTCAATACATTCAAGTACTTCATGGTACACTTATGAAGAAGTGCAATATGCATTTGCTGCTCGGACTCTCCAAAAATGACACGCAGCCAGCCATGTTGGATCCTAAAAATATGATATGACACGCACTTGACGCATTTGTGAAGAGTCCGAGCAATATAGTTTTCGAGTGCTTGTTAGATTATTACAAGCCTTTTATCAGTTCAGTAGTCTGATCATTGATCAATTTGAGTCAACTATGACCTTCATTTCCTTGGAAGACCAGTTCTCATATTAACTATGAATCTCTTAACATTCTTGTTGCAGAAACACTGAGTTATCTGGCAATCTATGAACAGTACTTCTTAAACCACAGTCCAATGTTAAGAAAGCTTTCAAAGTCTGTTCGCGGTCTGCCAAAAGAGTATATGCGTTAATGATCTCCTCAGGTAGGGGGGATATTTAGTTCTCGAATTAGGGGAAGGAACACAATTACCTGTCGAGTTCGTGTATGTCATCAGGAAACATCATCACCTTAACCTCTACGCCTTTCTCCTTCAATGCTCTTGCATACTGCACAGATACAGAAGAATGAAGAAATGTTTACGAGATGAAATGTTTATATCAAACATCGAATCAGGCAAGACATAGTAAGGTTCCTCCAGCAGAACGAAAGAGAGAGCACTGTAGGAAGTGTTCATACTTGAAAGAATACTTAACTTCACGTCACAAGATGATCAAATGAGCTGAATGATAGTTCTTTGAGAGTCTCAATTAATAGGAGAATGCATCATTCATGTTAGACTCCGAAAAATTTGGAAAACTCAAGCGATAGATCGATAATAGCTTCTTGGATTCATAAGCAGTGACATGTTTAAGTGCAGCTATGGAAGCAATTAAAATTTGGGGTGTATACTCAGTTTTCCATTGTTGGTCTAGTTTTACGCACCGCCCCCCAAAAGGAAAAGGAAAATACGTACCTGTAATCCATCAGTAATGGGCACGCGAAGGTCCTTAACACCTAAAAGCATGAGTGTGGGAGTTTTGACCTGCAGGGTTACCTCCAAGTGAGTATAGGAGCATCAATAAAACAATGCAGATTCATCTAAATTCCAATAGGCACCAGCCAGTGACGGAGCCAGGAATTTTACTAAGGGGTATCACAATATAAAAAAAGTAGATACACAGAGAAAATAAGGGGAGTCAACATATAGTATATATACATTAAACTAAAATTCTGACCTAACAAAACAGTGTAATTTTCCGAGGAGACACCCCTTAACTAACATAAGGTGTCTCCGCCACTGGCACCAGAAAATCTCATGTCTAAAAGGAATTAACTGTAATTTCTTTTTTGCTCCCATTTCCAGTTCGATTTTGTTTGAATGTCAATGAGAAGTAGAAGTAACCAGATGAAAATTGATTACTATAATCTTTGCATTTTTAAGTTGCCTAGTTCTACGCTCCTGAGTCCCGACTCCTGTGCAATAAAACCTAGTAGACCTATTCAACGATAACACCAACACAGGTGATGAAGCTAACCTTGGATACATGTGAAATTGGGGACTTGTCGTAGAATAGAGCAAGGTGTTCAGCTGAAGGTGCTGCTGTAAAACTTGATTTTGCTTCACTTCCAAATGCCTCAAAATAGCACCAATCAGGTATATCAGTTGTACCAACCATTAGAGCAAAGTTGCAGACTGGGTTCCTAGCAGCTGCAGCAGCAAACTTGTCTGGTGCCTGCACGGGTACATTTGTAAGAACAGAATAATTTTAACTTTTTCAATCACCTTATAGACGAAGTATCAGAACGGATGGTCTAATGGCCATGCACAAACATTTACTAGATATGGATTTAGGTGTAGGAAACAGGTTGTTTGTGAACTACTCGACCTGGCCTATCAAGTGTGTTGTCAAAAATCCACCATGAGAAATGCCAACAGCAGCAATTTTGGACTGATCTGCTAGACCCATACCAATGACATGGTCTATGGCAGCAAATACATCGTTAACGTCCTGTGGAAGTGAAACAATGGAAAGGAATTTAAAAGAAATGTCCTCATTTCGGATAAATATGAATAGAAATCTATTGTCATAAAGAAGGTTGGACAAAAAAGCACCTGTGAACCCACCCTCCCTGGAAGAGATTGCACTGCTTCCTCACCAAATCCCAAGGAACCTCTGGAAGGACGTCAATAAGATATTCGTGTTGTAATACAATCAAGATAAGGCTTTATTTGTGAGTTTATCTTAATCAGAAATTCAGATTGGCAACACCGTCAACTAGTTCAGCACAAGTTGTAGTACAGATAGATGCCAAAAGGTGCTTATGGTACTCTTAACTTACCTATAATTTACAATAAGCAAGCTAAAACCAAGTGAGCAAAGAAATGCTGAAGACTTTGAGAAGCTTGATAATGACACACAGTGAGGACCCCCATGAAGGACTACAATCATCGGGTCACATGCATTGTGCTTCTTAGATTTGGAGGATGCAAAAATAGCTTCATAAGGTTTGCTTGCACCTACCATGAATCAGATTTATGCACTAAATTAGGAGCAGAGAGAAACAAAAAGGTGAGCTGAAAATAAATATTACATCTGTTGATTCATCTTTAGTTTCTCAGAGACCAGGAAACAATGTTTATTCTGATAAATATTATGCAAGTGTACCTTTTGTGAGATTCTCAGAGGCGTCTCTAACAGGAATCGACATTATAGAAAACTCCTTGGATGACAGCAAAGACCTCACCTTAGAAGAATCATAGAAAAATGTTAGGACTGGCTAGTCTTTATTCGTTATAGCCCAAGCCAAAAGGATTTAAACAATATGGACATTATATTCACCTTTCCAGAGCATTTGATTATGGGGCTTGAGATATCTAGCCAATTCCATTTGGTGTTATCAGAGGCATTCCCGACAAGATAACCATACTTGATATCAGGAACATCTATTGGACTGCTACATACTTCAAAGTAAGAAACAGCACCATAAGACTCTTATCTGTTTTTCATTCCGCAATACATTTTCAAGCATATCAAACAGAAGATTTCAGGTGTTAACCTTGACTCTTTTTTTGACTAGTTAAAATGTCGGCTTAAATGGAGAAACATGGTCAGTAAAGAGACATAGCCGACAGAACTGGCTTGGGATTGATGCATAGTTGTTGTTGTAAGTTAAAAAGACAACATTGACTCTTACCTGCAATTATATTATCACCATCCAGCGTAAGGACATCCCATGAAAACTCTGATGTGCTCGGACTGATTCGCGATACATCTCCACTGAAAGTAAATGAGCATGTGATTGAACACAGATGAAGATACATAACGTTTGAGTACAACGGAGATAGAATGGCTTCCTTGCTTTACCTCAAGATATCCACGGTAAGTACAACTAGGGTGCTGCCCCAGGCAGCTGATAAAATCATAGTGTGCCCATCAGAAAGCCACGGGTTACTAAGAATATTTGAACAGTATAACCCAGGGAAGCTTCCATCTTCAGCACACATCACAACGGGAACCTACAGTGGTCATTGAACCTACTAATATAATCAGCAGGATCAAGTGAAACAACAAATTTAAGGATAATTCGAAAAAAGGAAAAACAACAAATTTGTTCATCCTTGCGAAACTTCATTACTTAACTCAAAAGTACTGATATGACAAAAATAAGAGTTGTAAGTAACCAAGTCTTTAACAAGGTTCAACCACTCATATAAGTTTGTGAGCAAAGCAGGAAAATAATACCACATCAACAATTTTGTTACGCGGATGTGGCTCTGCATCAATGGACCAATCAATCCTATGAAGTGAATCTGTTGCATTATGTGCTCCAGAATCTACAGCACTTTTTGAAGATAGAAACACCAGGAATTTTCCATCTGGGCTGAGAATTAAGAAAAATAAGAATGGGTTAATAGATTTTCTGTTATAGTCTGGAAAAAGTTGTTTACACTTTACACCACCAAGTGCTGAAGTGTGAGAGAAATCTGATCAGACTTTACAAGATATTTTCCACTAAATTTATAGAACAATGTAAATGCTAAAATAGTTGTTGAGCGCCAATAATTATAACAAGCAGACGTACCTAAAACGAGGGAAGAATGCACTACTTATGCTTTCTGTCAGCACAACTGCTGATAGTTTTGTATCCGTTCTGATAAGAAAAGTATCAAATAACAAGACTATCAAAGAAACATATCAATAAATACTTAGTCGGTTCAACGGAAATAGAAATGAATGGTATAATGTAAGCATGCTGTCAAAGTCGTTGAAAAAAGAAAGGCTTCTTAAGAGCAAGCAACCTACCCATATTGACATGGTTCATATCTGAAACAAGGAGCTCTAACAACATACAAAGAACAAGGCCTATTAGTGCATTACTTGATACCAAACTTCCTCGTCCCCGATGGCCATCCAACAAAAACTAGATATTGTAATGAGTCTTTTGCTGATGGAGCCCAAATAACTTGCCCAACACTTGGTGACTTTTCTATGCCATCTACAGCGCGTACCTCTCCACTGCACAACGTCCATTTAACAGTTACCACGTCAAATTTACATGATAATGTTTTTTCAGAACTACTTAAGCAAGACATCAGTGACAAAATTAACCTGTTAATGCTGATGACAAAAAGCTTAGGTAGCCTTTTCCCATCGTATGCTTCGCCCCAACCCTCTTCCCAATCTCCTTGTCCTTTCCAGCTATTACAGTCTTTATCTGGACAATTCCCTTTCTCGTTGCCATAATATGTAAATGTTGGTTTTGCAGAAACAGGCTCTTCAGCAATATAAGCAATCAAAGTTTCATCGGAATTCCAGGAAATCCCCTCAAACCTGAGACCAGGCAACCGGTAGAAATAACGACTAACAACTCCTAATAATGTTACTAAATTGTAGCATTAAACTGGTTTCAGGATATAGCAGGAAGTAACAAGTATCCACGATGAAAAGAGAACTTGATAAGAAAATGCAAGTAGTGTTTTTCGGTAGTAAATTAAGTTACCATCCATCAGAATATACAGATCCGTGGATAGATGAAGGAACATGAAACTCCCTTTCCACCTGAGATGAACTCCAAATCTCGAAGCGAGTAGGAGAATCATTTTCAGCATTTCGAACAACAAGAAGCTTTGAACCTGATGGAGAGGGAACCATCAAAGATGTTGTCCCCATCTCAATAGGGAAAGCATCCCAATGAAACTGTACAGAATCATCCCTTTCTTTGGAAATGTGACTAAATGATGCATATCTCCTCTTCTTGTTCTCCAGGAGATTAGGTTGACTAATTGAGAACATAACCTGTGAGGCTCCTGGACGCCGCAAAACAACCAAAAGTACACCACAAATCATCTTTTGGCTCTCACAGATCATGATATACATAAGAAATAAAAGCTTGACAGGAATGAACCGGTATGACAAAATATCTAGACAAAGTTGAAGTAGCAGTACCGCTGTTAGATTTCAAAGTCCATGCCTTCTCAATTGTGGGGATTTCAGTAAACTCTTTGAGTAATGTAGACTGAGAAAAGTACTCTTCCTCTGAATTTGCATCTAAACCAACAGGAGTATCTTTGAAAGGGCTTGCTCCAGGATTTTCCATTCGCAAACAAACTGAAAAGGTTTTCAGTTTCAATTAGGCAGAATTAAACTAACAAGAACTGTTAGTTTCCATTTCACTTCGTTTCAATTTGTTTCCCTTACTTTCCTTTTCATCCCGTTTAAAACAGAAAACCTCTTCCCTTCTTTGACAACTCTTCAATTTCTAACTTTCCACATGACATGTTTAAGATCACAAGATTACATGACATTTAGGTGCATCTTTAGTTTAAAACCACAAGATTCAATGGTCTTCTTTACTTTCTTAAATTCTGTACCAAGTCAAAACCAGACAAACAAATTGAAAAAAACACAATCTGATCACTTCTCTTCAATCTTGATTCCCACTGTAATTAAACAAAGTAAAGGAATCAAGTTCCTTCAACCTTCCTTCTTTAATACATTCTAATTGTAAATTGTACTATATTTTAGAATTACTCAGTTCATTATGAACATAAAAATCAAATCTTGGCTAACAGAAACTATAGAAAGAGTATTCAAACATGGTGTAGAAAAAACTCAATGATAATTACATACAGTACAATTCAGTATATTTAATATCACACTTACACATTCAGATCAAGAAAGCTTACATAGAGAGAGGGAAATGGAGAATTGTAATGAAAATGGATGAAAGAAAAAGAAGAAGAGGAAGCAGAAGTGATCACTTTTGTCAGTTTATGTCCCACTTGCCAAGAGCATCTATAACTAAATTTTCTTTATTCATTCCACCCAATGTTTAGTTGGTTTTGTTTGGGGGGAGGGGCATGATCGTATAAGTTTATATTTTCTTATTATAATATAACGCAAGTTATGCTGTTTTTACATAACTTATGTAGATAGATGCATAAGTTTAGTTCAGAACCCACAAGTTATGTCGTAAAAGATATAACTTAGTTCCTAAAAAGGTAATGCCGATAGAGGCATAAGTTCAATTTCAGAACTCACAAGTTAGTCATGAGAGACATAATTTAATTCCTATATAAAATTTCTCTTTAACTTATTCCAAGTGAAATTTGGTTATCCATAAAGATACTTTGACCCACAATTTTTCATTGAACGAGCAACAAGAACAAATATTAAGGATCATAAATTTGAACGACAAAAATTAAGAATCATTACAAATAAGGGATAATCCTTGCAAGAACTTGATGTTTCGTAGCCGCATGAAATTTTCCTAACAAAATTAATTTCATATCGGGGCTCAAATTCAAGACCTCTTATTAAGGATGAATGAGTACTAACCACAAATTAGGATTACTTTTTAGCTAAATTTTGGAAATATTCTTTACATCTCGATAAGTTCTTTGTAATCTAAGCTGTATTGATGTTTTAAGAAGAAAAAAAAAAGAGTAGATCTCAATTCAATGAAATTAATAAAAATATTATCATGACAGACATTATTAGCATAAAGTATGACTTCACTCATTTGCATCATAATATGCTTTCAATTAAACTACTATTTATTGAAAAATAAATATTCACATGGAGGAGTATCTGTCAAATCTTAAAATTAAGTCAAAACTAGACAACCAAATTGATACAGAGGGGATAGTATTCTGCAGTTGATTACACAGTTGGGAATTTATGCAATTTGTTCTTGCATATGACCAATACTTTTGAAACAAGCTGCTACACAAAAATTCAAAGATAAACTCCTTTTTGATGATTTATTGAATTGTACAACATAGGAACTGTTTATTGGCAATTCCTTAGGTGACATATTTAGAAAGTTCATATCTTCAATTCAGATGAGAGCTTGAACATGAACACAGAAGGAGGATAATCGTCGTTCTTCTTGAGGAGAACAAGAAATGAATCATATATGTCTATTTGCAGTGCTTCTTGAACCACATTCCAATATTAAGAAAGCTTTCGAAATCAGACTGTGGCCTGCAAAGATGAAAAAGGTTACAAACATGAAACTCAAGCACTACCAAGATGCACATAAATTGGTTCAGGACCAACCTATCAATTGCGTGATTGTCCTCTGGAAACACCAGCACCTTGACCTCAGTTCCTTTCTCCTTCAATGCACGTGCATACTTCGTGCAACAAAAAGGAAAACCATTTACTCACTGAAATCTTAAGTCTTATGAAAACCGACTAACCATAATTTGGGAAGTAGTCAGTCATGTTCAGAGCTAATGGTACTGTTAATGTTTTGGATAGAATGAACTTTACAAAACAAACTTAAATGGCAAGCTTCTAACTCATATATTTTACACAATTCTGCTATTCATGTTTCTGAAATGTTATTCGGTACCAAAGCTGTCGTGTAGTTGATTGAGATTGCCTCATTCAAGAAAGGTCCTTCTACAAAGAATTATTGATAAATACAAAAAGAATACAAATCTTCCCATTCAACGCGAATATGTTAAGGCAAATGAATGATCCATATAACGTATACGCTTAAGTCTTAAGAATATAAACTTTCCAATATCATGTTGATAATGAAACATAAACAGGTGATTGATAAAAGAAACAAGAAGAGGATTATATTAAATCTTACTTGCAAGCCGGTACATATTGGTACACGGAGGTCCTTGGCACCTAGCAAGAAGAGTATAGGAGTTTTGACCTGCAATATTAGATAACACAGAGTATCAAATGTATTCAGAAATATAGGATCCAGAAAATACATACATAGGGACATGATCCTTGAAATCTAGAAAAACTTAATACTTCGACTTTTTCACTAAGATTGGGAACACAGTTGCGTAAAATGGAAAGCTTTTTCAAATCCAGATTTTGTTGATTAGAGCAGACCTTGGAGATGTGTGCTATTGGTGATTTGCTGTGAAAGACAACAAGGTGTTCAGACGATGGGGCTTCAGTATACATTGATTTTCCGAGATGTCCAAACGTCTCTGCATAGCACCAATCAGGGATATCAGCTGTTCCAACCATCAAAGGAAGGCTGCAGACAGGGTTCCTAGTAGCTGCTGCAGCAAACTTATCGGGTGCCTGCAGTAATAGTAGCAGAACTGTCAAATCTATAGTCTTTCAGATATGCAAGCTTGTCGAGCTTCCCTATACGTGCGCGGTAGAAACCATAAATATTCATATAACTAGAGGACCTGGCCAATCAAGTGTGTTGTCAGGAATCCACCATGGGAACCACCGAGGACAGTTATTTTAGATGGATCTGCAAGTCCCATATCTATGACATGATCTATAGCAGCTAGTACATCATTAACATCCTACACATACAGACATATCATAAAGGTTCAAACAAGCAAGAACATTTTAGGTTTCAAATCCTTGATAAGCAATCTTTTAAGTGAACAAAAGAGGAGGACTACAGATGAGTACCTGCGATCCAATTTTTCCCGGAAGAGATTGCAGTGCTTCCTCACCAAAACCCAAGGAGCCTCTAAGATAAGGTAAGAAAAAGAATGTACTTAATCAAGTCATTAACTGCTGCTTAGCCAAAACAAAAGATAGCAAATGAAATATCTCAAGAACAGTAGCAAATCCATATATGCAATTGCCTGACTTGGCTTGCCAACGATGAAGAAGTCTCATTCTTGCAGGTCGAGGCAAATAAGAAGACATGTTTTAAACAGTTCTTAAGTTTTAGCCTGTGTCTGCTCTTAATTTCAGAGAATTTACAGTTCACAGAAGGTCAATGTAGGTTTACAAGTTTCTAGTTATCCAAGAGCTTCTGAAATAATATGCATCTTATTGTTTGGTAAAAATTTTTGAGGGCTGTTCCTAAGCATTTGATTTTTAATTAGTATAATATGTTTCCTTTTACTTCTTTTCAGATGTGTGACTGAAATAAGATTTTGCTAACTTCAAAGTTTGCTTAACATCAACAACTTTATAACATCTAAAATTCGATTCCTTAGCTATAGTTTTCTACTGAAACAATCGCAGAAATTGTGCAGACAAACTTTGACATTGGATTGAACATGTAAATTATGATATTACCGACCATCACTTGTAAATTTCCTTGGTACTAAAACCAAGAAAGACAATTGAGTGTAACATCTTAAGCTAAAGACAAATTTGCAGGGGGTGTTGTTGATGAGCTTTGCTTTTGCAACTTATAGTATTCATATAGCTATCTAGTATGCAGTATTACTAGTATTTCATTATCAATATATAAATTTGAACATGCTTTACAAGTATAGAGGCATGGAAAGTTTCTCACCTGTAATTAACAATCAACAAGCTATAACCAATTGAGGAAAGGAAAGCTAAGGATTTCGAAAAGCTTGACAATGAAATGAAGTGAGGACCCCCATGAAGGACTACAATTAGCGGATCACACAGATCATGGCTCTTACACTTGGAGGATACAAAGATAGACTCATACGGCTTGTTGGCACCTGAAAAAAGTTAAACGGAGGGAGTAGAGGCTTAGAATTTACATATGGTGCTTCTTGAAGAATCTAAAATTTCAATAGAACGAATAAGTTGGTCGCATGAGCAAGTATCCAATTACCATTACTCAACATTTTTTTCGTTTCCTTTCCTTTCCTACCTTCTCAACAGTTAAAACACCACTGTTCACAGATTAATGCAAGTATTTTAGTCAGACTGATGAATTAATACCTGCAGTAAGGTTCTCAGAGATATCCCTGACTGGAATTTTGATAATACTAGATTGGCGGGATGACAGTAGAGAAATGACCTGTGAGCATCACAGATGTCTATGAATAATAGAAATGGCATTCTCGTACGTAAGCATTGAGCAGAACATTATGGATGTAGCATTTTGTAAATGAGTGAAACAACCAGATGAACCTTTTCAGAGCATCTATATATGGGGCTTGAAATATCTTGCCAACTTGCTAAGGCCTCTGCAGATGAATTTCCAACAATGCTACCGTACTTGATTTCAGGAACATCGGAGGGACTGCTACTGACTTTACAAGAGATAAGTACCAGATTTACTCAAATAAACAAGTAAATGAAGAACACAAATAGAGACACTTTGTGAAATGCTACCGTACTTGATTTCAGGAACATCGGAGGGACTGCTACTGACTTTACAAGAGATAAGTACCAGATTTACTCAAATAAACAAGTAAATGAAGAACACAAATAGAGACACTTTGTGCAACATAGGCACCCGCCTATAGAAAAATTAAGTCTTACCAGCAATGATGTTATCACTGTCTAGTGCAAGCAAGGTCCAAGAGAAGCTAGAGTTTCCAGGGCTAATGCGTGACACCTTTCCACTATTAATTAACAAGCAATCATTAGGCCAGAGGAAATTTAAAGAATCCCATGACACCATGATAAAAGGGCAGCCTGGTGCACTAAGCTCCTGATATGCACGGGTCTGGGTAAGGATTGGACCATAAGGGGCTATTGCATGCCATGACACCATAATGTCAGTCAAAATTGAGTCACCTTATACAAAGTTTACCTCAACATGTTCACTAAAAGTATTACTTCAGTGCTGCCCCATACAGAAGATAAAATCATGGTAGATCCATCAGAAAGCCAAGATTTACTCAGAAACTTAACACTATAGAGGCCAGGGAAACATCCATCGTCAGGACACATTACAACAGGAACCTGTCACATAAGTGTTGCACCAGCAGTTAGTTAATACACGGAAAAATAATAATAACAACAAATGATAATTCACTAGCCTCAAAGTGCTGATTAAAGTTTTAAGGACATGGAAATAGAGCGAACCACGTCAACAATGTCAGCATCTGCAGTGGGCTTTCCATCTATGGACCAATCAATTCTATGAAGTGATTGAGTTGCAGAATGCGCCCAAGAGTCTACAGAACTTTTTGCAGACAAAAACATAAGGGCCTTTCCATCGGGGCTGGAAAATTTAGTAAAAGTAACAATTAGTTTAAACTTTTCCCAACAAACTAACTTTATTAATGATGCTATTGTTGATTCTCAATTATTATCAACTAAGAACAATTTGAAAATAAGTAGAACATGCTTCCACAAACTTAAGAATTTCTTATTCATATCTCATCTTTCTAGCATCAACATAAGCAGATATACCTGAAACGAGGAAAGAACGCACTACTTATTCTTTGTGTCAGCTTAACTGGAGATGCTTCTTCGATTGCATTTTTTCTGAAATTGAAAAAACTCCATCAAAACAATGAAGATGAATATAAATAAAAAAAAAAAAACGAAATTCTCCCCTAGGTCAGTCCCCTCTGCACTATATTCACACAGATCATACAGTTGTGGCCGATCCACAACATTTTCATCTTGAGAAGCTATCAAATTACATACCCGGGTTCACGATCTTTTGATTTTGAAAATGGAGCTCTAACAGAATACAAGGCACACGGCCTGTTATAGCAATACTTAATGCCCAACTTTCTAGTATCCGATGGCCACCCAACGAAAACCAGATATTGCTGCAAGCCTCTAGAAGCTGGAGCCCATACAACTTGTCCAACACTAAGCTTATTTGTTCCTTCAACAGGATGTACTTCTCCACTGCACAAGAAGTCAAATATTTACCCTTGAGACTGATATAAGCAAACAGTATAAGTTACCATACCTGTTAACATTGATAACGAAAATTGCAGGTTCTCTTTTTCTAGGGTAGGTTTCACCCCAGTCCTCTTCCCAATCCCCTTGACCTTTCCAGCTACCACATTCCATGTCTGAAGAACTCCCTTTCTTGTAGCCTGAATTCGTGAACACGGGTTTAGAGGGAGCTTGCTCCTCAGCGACGTATGCAACAAAGGTTTCATCATCATTCCATGAAATTCCCTCAAACCTGCATTGTCAAATGCTAACGAACACCATATGATGGTGAAGTGAAAAATCAGACACTTAAAAAGTAGTTTCCCCTCCGTTTCAATTTATCTGACACATTTTTATATCTATTAATGATTTGATAAACTTCAGATTTATTAATGAGATGATTTACAGCCATACACATACTTGCGACTTATTTTAGACCATATATTTCAAAAGTCTTTCTTTCTTTCTTAAACTTCATGCTCTTTCAAACAACATCACATAAATTGGAACAAAAGGATTAAGATATTTTACCATCCATCTGAATATACAGAGCCATGGACAGAGGACGAGACATGGAACTCCTTTTCGACTCGAGATGGACCCCAAATCTCGAATGTGGTTGTAGAACCTTTTTCAAGATTTCTAACAACAAGAAGTTTTGACCCTGAAGGTGATGGAACCATTATAGACCCACTAGGCATCTCAATAGGGAAGGCAGCCCACTCAAAGATTACACCATTTGGACTTCCCTTCGAAATATGACTAGATAATATGTATCTCCTGTTTTGGTTGGCCAGTAGATTTGGCTGGCTGATTGAGAACATACACTGGGAACCTTTTTCTGAAACAAAAAAACAAAAGAAAGCCATTCAGCAGGTTTTAAAGAACCACGATTCTTCTTAATCGAAGGTGGAAAAATAATACTTCACTAAAATCAAACATTAAAGTGAAATGTTTTGAATATACAAAAGGGAGATTGGATAATAGCAATCATACCACTGGTAGATTTGAAAGTCCATGCTTTGTCAACGGTAGGGATGCTAGCAAAATGTTGGAGTAGAGTAGACAGAGAAGAGTATTCTTCCTCCGAGTTTTCATCCAAACCCCGAGGGGATCTTTTGAGAGGGCTGGCTTCAGCATTTTCCATTTCTGAACAAACTAACAAATTTTGTCTAGAAATTGGAACACAATAAAGGATCAATTAATATAGAACTATTGATAGTGCCAAGACGTTTCTTAGCTTACAATCATGAAAAACAACTTAGGATACATTGGGACACCCTAAAACAACAACAACAATCCATTGTGATCCACAAGTGAGGTCTGGAGAGGGTAGAGTGTACGTAGATCATACCTCTACCTCTATGAGAAGTTGTTTCCGATCGACCCTCAACTTAAATGGAACCAGCCAAACAGTTTGGGACATATATAGATATGGGAGCAGTCACAACAACTAATTAATCGAAATGAAGAACGTTACACAACAAACACTAAAAAGAACAATAACAAAAATGAAACAAATGAAAATTGTCTATTCTTGATTAATCCACAATACTAGCAAATAAACATAATTTGTCAGTGTACACAGTAGAATTGACCATAAAACATGTAATAAATTCCGGTATGCACCAAATAAAAGGTAATATGCATAGCATAAGGTAACATATTTGAATCACAGAGAGTAAAAGAGAGAATTTTACAAGAGAGGAGAGAAGTTTGAGCTGCTTGAGAAGGCCAACAGAGCAACAGTGTTACAACTTGGTGCTGTAAAGCAAACGCGTATTTAGGATTTTTAGAACATGTTGTACCACTACGAAAGGGAAGTAGTGAGTGAGAATTGATACCAAATGCATGAGTATCAACAAGTAATACAAATTAATTCTAGAAAATATATGAAAAATACCGAGTTTTGCAGAAAGATCATGAATTCACGCGCACCATGTTTAAAATCTTCCCCTCCTGCTGTAAAGTGGTCTAATATAATGCTGATGGCCCAAAGATTCCTTCTATTTCAATCTGAATAAGACATTTGTCAAATTATTTGTTTTGTTTGTTAAAAGATAAAGAGGAGGATAAGATAATATTCCTCATGGCCTTCTGTTAAGTGATGAAGATAAGCCCAATTCCAATCTTTCAGTAACATTGTTTAAATTTTGAATTAAGGGGAAAAATTATTTATCATAAAGTCTAATGGATTCATCATGATTTTTGCTTCGACTATAAAAAATTTAACCTACTCAGAAAGATTTGTAGCTAAATCGAATTAGCAGTAAATTATTTTTTGCATATGATTGAATTTCTGCATTTAACTCTTGTCTAAAGATAAGGGATTTGCAATGGTTCAAGTATCTGTTTATGCACACAAAAAATTAGAGTGCATAAATATCAGCTGACACATTTTTGTATTATGTTATAACAAAAATGGTACTCAAAGTAAACTTTTTTTCGTCAGTGCTTAAAAGATGCATCTTTTGGTTCCAATAATGGTCCTCTCCCATATAAAAAAAAAACACAAATAAAATTGAAACCCGCAGCCACTACCCTTTAGGTGCACATGGGGTAAAACCCTGCTTCTATGCAATAGCCAGCAAACCACACATGAGAGATGTCCCGCACTAGGCAAACCCGGTGCAACAAACTCGACCTAGAAGGCAAACTCCTTGCTTTCGTCTGCAAGGGTGAATGACTTATATACCCTTCAATCAAACTTCACTTACTATTTTGAACATTCACTTTACGGAAAAAGAAAAAAAAAGTATGCAATTTTATGAAAGCAAACAAGAAACAATCCAGTACTTAATAAATTTGAGACAAAAAAACATAGGAGAAGAAATCCAAGTGTCTGTCTGCACATAAAAACAGCAAAGTTTCATTGTTTTCTCTTTTTCTGCAGTCTATGCATACGCAAATAATCTCTGTATTGTGCTGTGGAAAGAGATAAACACTTCATTAATCTGTAAATCATATTCGAACCGTCTTCTAAGAACTCTTTTCTGACTCTTTGTTGAATAACTTTGTAGTCATACTCATAGTGACAACGGCTGGAGTTGCACTCCTGAACAAGCTGTTGAGCCTCTCCACAAAGAGTAAGGTTCCTTCAGACGAACCAGCTCAAGTATCCTGAGACTCAAAATACATATTATAGACACAATTTTAGGGTTGTTCAGAACATAAAAGAATGAACTATACTGGAAATAATTCTTGTTCAAAATAACAAAGATGACAACACTTTATTCTACTTTAGAATAGACAAGGCCCTCTTAAACAAAGCTCATGCCCAAAGTCAGTTTCTCCTATATTCCAAAATTCTTCTGTACGCCCAACCTAACTCTCATGATCATAGCAGCAAAATTAGCACCCTGAACTGATTACACCTTGCAATGTATACTTCCTTTCATCAATATTACAGCTAAAGTGAAAGAATAAGATCATTCTGCAGTGAAAAATACAAAGTTACTCCCTACGTCCCAATTTATATGGTGGTGTTTGACTGGGAACAGATTTTAAGAAAGAAAGACTTTCGAAACTTGTGGTGTAAAACAAGGCATAGCTGTTTGTGTATCTATAAAATATTTCATTAAGCGTAAAATACCAAGTTTAAAGTTAAACTGTTTCAAAATAAAGTATTACATTCTTTTTGGGAAGGACAAAAGAAAAAGTATGTCACATAAATTGGAACAAAGGGAGTAGCTATTAGTAGCAAGAAAATACCAAACAGTCCAGAACAAAATATGTTGCCAGCTATTAGCAGCAAGGAGAAAACACCCAAACCAGATACTATCTCAGAACTTCAGCTTCGATATATGATTCCTTTGTTTCCTACTACTGTCACCTCAACTATTTCATTGGGTACATGCTTGATGCTACCTCTCACTAACACAATCATCTTGCCAAACCTTTGCCCTATAAAAATTTTACCTAAAGAAGAATATCTAGAGAATGGATTCAAAAAACAAAACCTAGGACCAGGGATCATTGGTGCATTTGACTACCACAATTTCCTAATCACTGGTGCGCTCTATTCTTTTTTTTTTTTGGATGAAGTAAGATGTTTCATTAAAAAGTATCAAGGAGATGCAAAGATACAAGGAGCATAGTTACAAGTAACAGAAGGACAAAAAGGAATATTTAGCTCAGTTCAGCTCCTATACAAAGTGTTAATCTAGAACTAGGGTGCGAACAAAGTCTAGAAAATGTCCAGCACTAAGGACTGGGGTCAACTTTGACGAGAAAAAAAGGTTAAGCAAGCATTTAGCTTTAAGAGAGTGATTTGGAGTTGAGATGGCATCAAAACATCTCTTGTTCCTTTCTATCCACAAACACCAAAAGATAGTAGCAGGAATCATCAACCAGATTTTTTTATATGACAAGGGAAATCCGCAGCCGCTACCCTTTGGGTGTGCACAGGGTAAAATCCCCGCTCCTATGCAATAGCTCGCAAACCACACATGAGAGGTAAAATCATCAACCAGATTTTCTTGATGGCCTTATCAGCTTTCCATAAACTCCAACTCAAATGTGCCTGTCTCATGTTCTTTGGCATAACCCAACTCAGGCCAAAGAGGATGCAAAATATGTTCCAAACACCAGTAGCTACTGGACAGTGCAAAAAACAAGTGATCAACAGATTCCGTCACTGGTGCTCTATTCTTACTCTTTCTATACGCACAGCATCCCATTTAAAACACTGCTCAAGAAGAGAAACTATGTCCAGTACCATTGAGTTTGAAGTCATGAGACCAAGTAATACAACAAAAATAACTGCTCTAGCAAAAGATTATCGTTTCTTGAAAATAGATCAGAAAAGAAAATGACAAAGTGACTCACAAGATCCACAAGCACTACAACAACAACAACAACATACCCAATGAAATCCCACTAGGTGGGGTCTAGGGAGGGTAGAGTGTACGCAGACCTTGCCACTACCTCGTGGAGGTAGAGAGGCAAGATCCACAAGCACTACAGAAACAAAATTTAACAACGCTTAAGAAAATGCATAGAATGTAACTCTTACATGTTATTAGTCACACGGTTGTCTTCATCTGAGTAATAGGAACTTCCGTTGTTTTTGCATGCGTTGATCCTTATGTGAAAAGGGACAAACTAGACTCTTAACGTAGATTTCTGCCTCAATATATGGAGCAAAGTTAGTAACATCTAGACATCTGAATGAATTATCCTTTGGATTATATTTCGCCATACGTGATCCAATTTCAAGTAAAATATCACCTTCATTTGTCACTAACAAGGGTGGTTCACGTATATGTAGCATACCATCATTATCAGCACGGATAGTAAGCATCTTTGTCCAAGATGCTTTTGCTTCATAGTCCTTCATAATCCAAACATCTGCATGAAAATTCTTGTAATTACACAACACAGAAAGATCACTTCCAAGCACTCCTAGTACGAAATAACCATATTCCTTAAAACTGAAAGGCTTTTCTATCTCTGTCCATTTCTCATTACCCAAGTCAATAGAACTGATATTCCCTCTGTTTTGAAGCCAATAAAGTTTTCTATTCACAAGCTTGCCCGGAACATGTAAAAATTCCCAAGCAGAGTCGTTAATACGTCTCCAAGAATTACTCCTTAGACTATATATATGGACCTCAAAACGACACAGCTGTGTACTTTTGTAAGCAGGGAAAATGCCCACTACCTTGTAATCATCTTGGAGCTCATTATAACCAAAACCAAAGTTGCACTTACCACGATGTTCCTGCAAACAGCAGTGACCACGGGGTCGATGAAGTCTATAATTAGGCAGTCTATTATACTTTCTAGTTGATGGATTCCATAGAAACAATTCTTGTACTCCGTTAAATAGACTATTGGCAAGGCAAATCAATCCATTGACAGAACCCACAATCCGAGGATAGCGATGGTCTTTGGGATATTTACCTGGATAATCCAAGTCAATTGCCTCCTTTACAGGATGGTGAAGTAAAGAGCTAAGAGAACAGACTGTGACAACATGGATAGCACTACTAGCAACCTTAAACATAACTCCATAGTGGGTGTAGTCCTTGTTACTAGCGGATAATAAGAGATGGTTCTTCACAAATTCAGGGCTAGAGATTAAGGAAAGCCAAGATTTTGACACAGACCTGAATTGTAAGAGGGATTTCACCGGAAGCCTAAACAAGATTTCAGTTACAAGCTCTACAGGAAGGTTAGGCATTGGCAAGACTGAATCTTTGCTTGAAACAAATGAACATTGAGCAGGGTTTCCGGGATTGCTCCGTTTTGGGTATCGAGAGACAACTTCATCTCCATGGGACAAGATCTCAGTGACAAACTCTACAAGAAGATTAGGCATTGGCAAGACTGAATCTTTGCTTGAAACGGATGGAAAGTGAGCAGGGTTTTCGGGATTGCTCCGTTTTGGGTGTCGAGAGACGACTTCATCTCCTTGGGACAAGATTTCAGTGACAAGCTCTACAAGAGGATTAGCCATTGGCAAGACTGGATCTTTGCTTGAAACGGATGGAAATTGAGCAGGGTTTCTGGGATTGCTCCGTTTTGGGTGTCGAGAGGCGGCTTCATCCCCTAGGGATTCCATTTGGGTTGTAGAAAGGGGAAATCTTTGGGAGTTCTCAATATAGAGATTACTATGTGAAGCCCTAAATTTTCTATCTATTTTTTTTTCTCTTACAACAACTTTTTTGGCCATTTACACTTTTTGAGCTAGTTTTAATTTTTATCTTTCAATCTAAATCATATTTTTTTTTTGAGAATGAAATCTAAATCATATTTTTGCGGTGTATAATTTTATATTATAATATCTTATTAGTTATGTCCCGTGTTTTTTAATAACTTATGTCTTACTAGGTATAAATTTGATTTCAAAGTATGAAAAGTAAAAATAAATTCTTTTGAAGAACAAATCGTGCAATTAAATGCAGTGTTTTCTGGAAGGGGGCAACATTCATTGTTTTTACTAGGGTAAATACATCAAATCCTCCTTGAACTTGGCAACAAAACCTTACTTTAGCACTTTAACTACACGGGCGTTTATTTACCCCTCTAATCTTAAAGGTGTGTGAACAACAGTAACTATGATGAAGGTGGTTTAAATGTTATAGGGTGATATTAATTTCACTTTGAATAAGAATAGGCGGTATTTAAATGCCCGTATAGTTAAAGGGCTAAAGTAAGTTATACTACCAAGTCAAGGGGATTTGATGTATTTACCCTAGTAAAAACAATGAATGTTTCCCACTTATAGAAAACATTACATTTAATTGCACGATTTGTTCTTCAAAAGAATTGATTTTTACTTTTCATACTTTGAAATCAAATTTATACCTAGTAAGACATAAGTTATTAAAAACACGGGACATAACTAATAAGATATTATAATGCAAAAATATAAAATTATACATCGCAAAAATAGATTGAAAGATAAAAATTACAACCAGCTCAAAAAGTGTAAAGGACCTAAAAAGTTGTTGTAAGAAAAAAAAAGATAGAAAATTTAGGCCTTCACATAGTAATCTCCATACTGAGAACTCCCAAAGATTTTCCCTTTCTGCAACCCAAATGAAGTCCCAAGAGGGTAAAGCGGTCTCTCGACACCCAAAACAGAGCAATCCCAGAAACCCTGTTCAATTTCGATGTGTTTCAAGCAATGATCTAGTCTTGCCAATGCCTAATCTTCCAGTAGTTCTACTACTTGCCACTGAAATCTTGTCCTAGGAGATGAAGCCGTCTATCGACACCCAAAAATGGAGCAATCCCGAAAACCCTGCTCAATTTCCATCCGTTTCAAGCAAAGATTCATGGCACTCCCAAAGATTTCCCTTTATGCAACCCAAATGGAATCCTAAAGATTTCCCCTTTTGAAACTTGTGGTCTAAAGCAATCCATGGATATCTGTGTGGCTATAAATCATCTTATTAAGGTAAGAAGTCTAAAGTTAGATTATTTCAAAATAAATAAGTATTATATTCTTTTTGGGACACGACAAAAAAGAAAGCATGCCACATAAATTAGGATGGAGGGAGTAGCTGTTAGCAGCAAGAGAACACCAAATAGTCTAGAAGAAAATAAGTTATCAGTTATATTGAGCAAGGAGAAAACACCAAAACTAGATACTATCTCAGAGCTTAAAATTTGTTAAATATTCCTTTGTTTCCTCCTATTGAAACCCTTTTTTGGGATAATGGCAGTGCCCTAGTCAGCTTTGCACCTCGGCTATTCCACTTGGTATTTGCTATCTCCCACTAATACAAGTACTAGTTAACTCATCCGGTCAAACCTTTGCCCTATTAAGGTTTTACCTAAAGAAGAATAGTGAGAGAATGGATCCAAAAAACAAAACTTAGAACCTCTGTTGTTCTATTCTTACTCTATCTATAGGCACAACATCCGTCTTACAACACTGCTCAAAATAAGTTCATGAGACCAAGTAATACAGCAAAAATAACTGCTTTAGCAAAAGATTATCGTTTTCTGAAAATAGATCATAAAAGGAAAATGACTCATAAGATCACAAGAATTATGGAAACAAAATTTAACAACACTTCAGAAAATACATAGAATGTAACTCTTACAGGGTATTAGCCACATGGGTGTCTTCATCTGAGTTATTTGAACCTCCGTTGCTATTGCAGGTGTAGTCCTTTCTAAAAAAAGGGATAAACTAGGCTCTTAACGTAGATTTCTGCCTCAACATATGGAGCAAAGTTAGTAACATCTAGATATTTGATTGAGTCATCCTTTGGATTATATTTCCCCAAACGTGATCCAATTTCAAGCAAAATGTCACCATTTGACAAAAAAATGGGCAAACCATACAAACATGGTATAAATTCATTATGAGACTTGATAGTAAACAACTTTGTCCTAGATTCTTTAACTCCATACTCCGTCATAACCCAGATATCTGCACCCCGCGTGTAATTACAGAACACAGAAAGATCACTTCCAAGCACTCCTAGTACGAAATGACCATAATCATTAAAATTAAAATTGCAGGGCTTTTCTATCTCTGCCCATTTCTCATCACAGAAATCAATAGAACAAATGTTCATGCCCGTTTCAATCCAATGAAGTTTCCCTTACACAAGCTTACCCGGAAAATGGAAAAAAAATCTATCTTTAAAGTCGCTAATTCGCCTCCAAGAAACTCCTTAGACTATATATCTGGACCTCAACACGACACAGACGCATATTTTTGTGAACAGGGAAAACTCCCACTACCTTGTAATCATCTTGAAGCTCTTCAATGCAAAACCAAATCTGCTATGCCCAGGTTCCTCCGCTTGATATCCACCACATCGATTAAGTCTATAACTAGGCAACTTGCTATGCTTTCTAATTGACGGATTCCATATAAACAAGTCATGTAATTTGTTACATAGACTAATAGTAAAACAAATCAATCCTTAACCGAACCCACAAGCCAAGGATAGTCTTTGGGATTTTTACCTGGATAATCCAAGTCAATTACCTCCTTTACAGAATGGTGAAGTAAAGCACTAAGAGAACAGTCTGTAACACCTATGCCAGCATAACTAACAACCTTAAACATAACTCCAAGATGGGTGTAGTCCTTGTTACTAGCACATAATAAGAATGGGTCTTCACAAATCACAAATTTAGGGCTAGAGATAAAGGAAAGCCAAGATTTTGACACAGACCTGAATTGTTAGAGGGATTTCACTGGAAGCCTTAACAAGATTTCAGTGATGAGTTCTGCAGGAAGCTTAGGCATTGACAAGACTGAATCTTTGCTTGAAATGGACTGAATTTCCATGGGTTTGCTCCGTTTTGGGAGGGCTTCGTCTTCTTTGGATTCCATTTGGGTTTTTGCAGAAATGGGAAATCTTTGAGGTTTTGATAGGGAGATTACTATATGAAAAGCCCTAAAGTTTGCCTATTTTTTCCCCCTTACAATAGAGCTGGTTTTATTTTTTATATTTTAATACTATATAAATGATATTTTCGCGGGTTATTTTATATTTTTAGATCGTATTATCTTATTAGTTATGTTTCGTTAACTTTAACAACTTATGTCTTATAAGGTATAAATTTAACTTCAAAATATAATGCAGAAATTAAAGCACCACAGTACGTGTTCAGGGGAGCAGAACATGATAGCTGATGTTCTAATTAAAGGAAGGAACTAGGCGAGGAGATATGGGTGCCCTTATTATTTTTGAAGTTCTCTCGTAAGTTTTATAAGCAGACATTGCGAAAACTTGTTTTGTTAGAAGCATACTATGTTGTAATAATGATATTAATGGTCGTACCATAATCCATCTTTTATCCATGGAGAACGTCCTTATGAATTCTATAATGAATACTCAACTTAATTTTATTTAAAAAATTCAAAATATAAAAAATAAAGATTAATTTATTTGAAGGACAATTTATGCAATTAAATACAATGTTCGGAAAATTTCATTATTTTTACTTGGATTTTGGATTTTCAATCCAAAATATATAAATTAGGTTTTAGTTTGGCTTTTGTTTATTTATCACAAAATTATTTCATTTAAAAGGAGCCAAAATAGAGTTTGAACCCTCATCTTCTGATTATAATTTTATATACGTTTCAATATACGATATGAAATAATAATTTTAAATTAAAGTTTAAATAACTAATTTGAGATCATAATTTTAAATTCTCTCCAAACATCATTTCAATTTTTAACATATAGAACTTATCCCATAAATTTATATATCTAATATTATATTGACTTTAGAATTTAATAAATTATGCATATTTAAATATTTGTAATTTCTTCATTGTAAAGTTTATCAGCACATTTATTGAGTGGCAAGGAGCAAAGTAGTCATCTTTGTCCAAGTTTGCAATGGTCCTTCCACAGTGTCTGGTGCTATAGCTTGCCTACTGCCACCACTCCTCACACACTGCCACCAAAATACCCAAATGACAACTCTCTCCTACACCTTCCCTAGAACCACCATTACCACCAGCAGCAGTAGGAGGTTCTTGATTACAAGCAATGGGTCTTCTTGCCGGCGGCGCCCCAATATTTCCACTGAAGACCAACCCTGCTCCTCTTCAGGTCATCCCCCAATAACCCCTTTCTCTGTGTGTGTGAAGATTGATAATGCTTAGTTGCTATTATGGGTTGTTACAAAATCTTGAAATTAGGGTGATGACTAAAGAAGTGAAAAGATCAAGACTTTGTAAAGATATTGCACTTGGCTGTGAGGTGGGGTGTTAAAAATGAAAAAAAAAGTCTCATATTGGTGGTTAAGGCTTGAACACCTCCTACCTTTGAGGTAGTTTAGTTAGGCCCAAAACTTAATTTTACATGGTATGAGAACCAGATTCATCCCCGTTTGAGCTTTCGGTTCTCGCTCAAACGGGGATGAACTTGGTTCTGATACCATGTAAACCTAAGTGCGAAGGAGGGTGTTGGAGTGAGTTAAAGTGTCACATTGGTTGGGAAATGGACGGGTGGTTTTACGATTGAGTTAGGTCCGGATGACATATCTTTACGGACTTGATAACTTAATGGTCGATTCAAGCTTGTTAAATGTAAATATTAAGTTATGTAGGGAGTGGAAGTATACATTTTACTAAATTATGTTTTAAAGTTGTGTTTTTGTGTGTGTACAGATTCAGCTTCAACTCACATTTGTTCCCAATTTTCAGCTTTATGGTTCAATATCATGGTGTGCGTGTGTGTGTGAAGATGTATAACGCTTAGTTGCTATTACGTGTTGTTATAAAATCTTGATATTAGGGGGATGGTTAAAGAACTGAAAAGATCAAGACTTAATAACTTAATGGGCTATTCAATCTTGTTAAATGTGAATATCAAGTTGGGTAGGGAGTGAAAGTATAGACTTCACTTTATTATGTTTTTAAGTTTATGTTTTTAGTGTGTGGAGAGGATTCAGCTTCAACTCACAAATTCTTCCCAATTTTCAACTTTATAGTTCAATATCATGGTGTTCGTGTGTGTGATGATGTATGCTTAGTTGCTATTATGTGTTGTTACAAAATCAGGGTGATGGTTAAAGAACTGAAAAGTTCAAGACTTGATATCGTAATGAGCGATTCAAGCTTGTTATATGTAAATATTAATTTGAGTACGGACTCAAGGGAGTGAAAGTGTATACTTTACTTAATTATGTTTTGAAGTTGATTTTTGGGTGTGTAGAGATTCAGCTCCAACTCGCATTTGTTCCCAATTTTTATTGCTTCACATGGTATGAGAACCAGACTTGCCCTGATATTGGTCTATAAAGCTGAAAATGTTTGTGCTAACTGTTATGCTCTGTCATGTTAAACAGTGCATTGACAATGTTTCTAGCCATTGTTGACAATGGTAAAAACTGACTTCTGGTTCTCGAGTTTCATGGGTTGCTTACAATAGGCACCCTTTCAGGTCTCCCTGTAACATAATCTTATCAGTTCTCTTTGGAAAATGACTTATTTGTAAATGTTTCTATCTTTTACATGTGGAAGCGCACACTTGCAGCACCAAAATGATAGGGTTATCCTGTTCCCGTTAATTAAATTTTAAGAGTTGATGTCTTAACATTCAATGTTATCATTATGATGCCTTTGTTCTTTCGGTCGTGTACCATGAAATCTGAATTAAAATGGCAAAATGCAGCCTGTTATCAAGGGGCAGTGCAGTCTTATGGTCTGCAGAAGCAACGAGTACAATTAAATAGCATATCAAAGGCTATGAGAACGAGTAGACTTGGATCAGTTGGAAGACAAAAGAAAGGAGCAATTAGATGTAACATTGAACTTCAGGACTTCATAGGTGGAGATCTCATTAAACCTGATTTGGGTCAATGGTTATCAGATGTGGAAGAACACAAAGCCATAGCAATTTACTCTCCTCATGAAGGGGGTTATGAAGGACGCTACCTTACACGTCTTAAGTACCAGGGATATCATTTCTTGGACCTTTCTGCTCGTGGCCTCGGTGACCCTGAAACCACTCTTACCAAATTCCACCCTGTCTGCCCTGTAAGTTATAGCAATTCACACACAATATGCTTATTCTCAACCACAAACTTGCAGTGTCCAATAGACTCTCACTTGCAATTGCGTTGTTGCAGGCTCATGTTGGAAAGCAACCAATTGCTAGATGGTATTTTCCTCCAGAAGTTGATTATAGGCTTTCTTTACTTCCTCCTGATGCCAAAGGATTAGTGGTTTGGATAATAGAAGCCAAGGTTAATTCAACCCTTTCAAATGCATACAGTATAATTAGTATGTCAGCAGTATTTTACTGGATCTATTATTAACTGTTTGACATAAACTGTTCAGGTCTTATCAAAGGCAGAGCTGCAGTTTCTTGCTTTACTTCCGACACTTCGTCCTAATGTTAGGGTCATTGCAGAGTGTGGTAACTGGTAAGATTTCCCTTTTCATCTTCGTTTCTCTTGTTTATCAATCAACTCTCTTGTAAATAAGGAAACTTTGAGATCTTGCCATTATGGTTAAAACAACATTGTATGCAAAAGCTACCTGGATTTACTTCAGTTTAGCCTTCTGTGGTCAATGCTACATACCTTATTATGATTCTTAGCTTGTAGATGCAAGAGTCAGGACAAGTATTTTAATATAGATAGCATCTTTTGGTTTTCTTTTTCTTCATCTTTTGAGAATTGCCGAGGGTCTATCGAAAACAACCTCTCTGCCTCTAAGGTTGGGGTAAGGTATACATACACTCTACCCTCCTCAGACCCCACTTTGTGGGACTAGACTAAGTATGTTGTGTTGTTGTTCATCTTTTTGAGAATTGAACCCCCTTATTTTTGTATTTAAGAGGTTTGGATATATGTTATGACTATTCTATTTACATCCCCTTGAGTTGCGGCCCTTCCCTGCACCTTGCATGGATGCAAGATCCTTCGTGCACCAGGCTGCCATATCCTTTCTTTTTACATGACTATTCTATTCATGGCATGTACAGGAGAAAGTTCGTGTGGAAGCCACTCAAGGAAATTGCAGGTTTATCTCAGTCATAGGGAAAAAATATAAGTTCACAATATTGGAACTTAACACTGTAAAATAGTCATTTACTTAAGAGCTACTTGGTTCTTGTGAATTATTTGTATGCTTCAATGTTGTACAATGTACATCAATGTATATGAATTTAGCAAAATTATGTCATCTACTTTGATTATACACATCGACTTCAATTAAAACATGTTTGACATTTTACGACTTATTAACTATTGAAAAACCTATATGCATTTCGATCTATTATTTAACACTAAATAATCTGTCTCCTAAGACCATTTTTAGGGGTTCTTCAACATTATTGATTCTTTAAAACTCTTAAAATATAATTGGCTCGAAGAAATTACTTTTAAGATAAAATATATCGCGCAAATCACACCCTTTTCCAACATGATTCATATGAAAACAAGAGATCTTTATTGAATCATATGAAATTGAAAAACATAATAAAATCAGTTTTGGTGAGTCTTGTAAATGTTTCTTGTTCCATAATTAGCTGGTGGAGCTTGTGGACAGACACATTGATGGTTTGTGTCACATATAGGATGTGCATCTATGCATCTCATAATCTTAGCACACTCGGCATCGCTAGTACATCCTCCTTGCGCATGACTTCCTTGTCCTACCAACATGGACGACATTGTTGAACAAGTCAGTGACGTATACAAGATTTTTCATAAATATCAAAATTTGAAAAAGTGAACAAACAAATGAATTATCATAATTTCCTTGTCCTACCAACATCGACGATATTGTTGAACAAGTCAGTGACGTACATAAAAATTTTCATAAACAACATCAACATTTGAAAAAGTAAACAAACGAAAGAATTATCATAATTTCCTTGTCCTACCAACATCGACAACATTGTTGAACAAGTAAGTTAAGTTACGTATAAAAGATTTTTCAT